TTGATACTTTAAAAAGTATTTGCCAAACGTTCATGATAAGGCAGGCTTTCAGGGTATTTTCATACAGCTGCCAATTTTAATCTTGATGATATTTTGCTTGTGGTATTTATGTCTCGGAGAAATCTAGAAGTCATGGGATTATGCTATGGAATCCATGAAGAGACTCAATTAATTAAAACAGCTTAAATAGTTCCTGTCTTGGGGAATGCCAGTATTCAGGACTTGGTTGGATATGTAAGAAGCTGGGCCAAATCTAGTGCAGCAGCACTTTCCAATTCTTAGACTATTTTGCTTTAAAAATGTGTGTTTTTTTCCATACTATTTCTTTCTTTAACCCTTATCAGGAGATATACCCTCTTTAATTCATTTTGTGTATTAGGACAACTATGAAACATGTTGTATTAAAATATGAATTTCCTGTTTTTAAAGATAGCATTTCCTGTAGAAGCAGTTCAGAAGGCTATTGGTTTGGGTTTGTTTTGGTTTTTTTTGGGGGGGGGGGGAAGATAATGGTTACAATAATACGAATGGCCAATTATTATATATAAAAATTGTGTTCCAGTATAAGAGAGTGAAAGAGGAAGTAATGTGTTGTCTAGGCTTACCAGAAACAAAACCTTACAGTTGCTAAGTTTTCTCCTGCAGTTAAAGGGAAAGGGCATCCACAGGGCTTATTCTGGAATCTAATGACATGCTTTTCAGGATTCATATTGGATGCTGCAGTACATGTTGCTGCTCTGTTGAATCACATCTATTTCATAGTAATTTTTAGATTAAAGAGGATTTAATTTTGACTGTGATAAGGAATTAATGATTTTTGGTGACTCTGAAAAACATATTTTATTGAACATTGTGGTGACAATACAGAATCGCAAGCACTGAAAACTTAAGTGGTTGTTAGCATGAGAAGTAATTGGAAATAACAGCTCTCTACATGAAAACAATTATCCAAGGCTTAACAGGCTTCTCTCTCAAGTCTGTAACACAATTAACCTCAAAGTTATCTAGTAAAATGAAAGCTCTTCTCCTTTCATAGGAGAGGCTGGTAGGGGTCATGCTATGTGAATAACACTAAAGAGAGAAAGCGGTCCAGTTTCAGCTCTGTGTGGCACAGGTCTTAAATTTATGCAGGATGTAGGTAGAGATTACACGTTTCTTACTATGAGTTCTTGATGACATAAGAGTTTGATGCCTTGTCAGTTGGTGCAATGCAAAACATATATAAGGAGAGAAAAAGGTATTTTAATCTGGCCAGAAAAAGTCCTTAAAATAGTACAGGAAAATGAGAAACTAAAGTAACTTTTTAAGGGGGAGGGAGATTTAGGACTAGAAAGAAAATATCTTACTAAGCTTGCCAGGCATAACAAGTGATTACCAAGTGTGCTTATCAAATATAGTCTAGTCAGACTGCTCTATCAGGGACCAACAGGCCAAGAACCTGCACCTGTGGTACACTAAACTAGCTATAGCATAGCAACTACATTTTTACACCCATAACCTGCAGCTTTTATGTCAAAAGAGAAATTTCTGTGTTTTGGCAACAACCTGAATTATACTTATTAAAGTAGCATAGAATAAAGTTTACTTCATATCCACCTCTGTACAGCTACTCTTCCTGTTTCTTAACTTCTCTACCTGGGAAGAAATTTAAGGTCCTGAACTCTCCTCCCTGTTCCAAAACCTGCCAAAGATCTGCTGACTAGCCCAGTATCCAGTCCATTTTGAATGCTTTCCTCTTCTGTGTCCTGTGTTATGCATCTAATGTAAGAAGGCAGGTAACCTGGGCATTGTCATCAGGAGTTGGTAACTATGAAATGGGAAGTTTCTGAGATAAGAATAATGCACATGAAAGTATAGCAGTATAGCACAGTATTCTTTTAATCATTACTACATTATGAATAGAGTATTAGAAAAAATACACTTGTCAGTGCTATGACATATTAGGTTCTGAAATTACTTACTGTATGTTAAGGAGAAATAAAATTGTAGCAACTGATAAAAACAGAAGTATAATTAAAATATCTAAATAGAAGAAACATCTTAAGATAAATACAAGTTGTTTTGTACATGTTCCACTAGTATGTGCTGTGACCAAAATAATCTTTTTTTTGTAGGCTCTGTTTATATATGTGTGTATATGTATGTACACATATATATATTTTTAAAAGTTTTTGTTACCTTGTTTAAATAAATGTCAGTGTCATAGCTGTCAAGTCTATAAGTTCTTGCATTAACCAAACTATATTAAATATCTGGGGAGGTAGGAGAGTCTGAGCTGATTCTTTAAAAATGTGTAAAAGCTGTGTAAAATCTTGTTGAAAGTAAATAGGTTGTTGTGGGACTCTGAACAATTCTAAGTATTCTAGATTCATATAGATTCAAAAATAGTATTCTCAGCTTTCTGTGGATTACCAAAAAATTCACGCACATAGCCAAAATGCAGACAAATCTGAGGTGTTTTCTTGGAAGTTTATTAGGATGGGGTAAGGTGGTCTGTCTCCAAGAGATTCCTGTTGTGAGGGGAAAAAAACCCACCACAAACAAGCTTGCTCCTTTGGTGTTTTTAATTATTTGGAACAGTCTTTCACATTCATGAAATAAATTCTGCTCTTTATTCCAGTAGCAGAATCCTTTGGGGCTCATTACCCATTACGTAATCTAAAGGCTAATCTGTTTTCATTCATAGTACCATAAGCATTCTCTACAAACATTTTCTTTTGGATCTTCTGTATTATTCCTGAGACACATGTCATTCTGACATGACTTTTTTCCCATCCTGATTATCTTGTATAGTTTCTAGCTCTTTTACATGAAGTGATCACTTCCATAAGGATTTTCTCAGATTCTCAGTAACTGTCTCAAGGCTATGCTATTCTTATGTTCAAGTAGTCTATACATAATATTTTCACATATCTGCGCTATTAAAAAAAGCCAAAACCTAAAACCCCCCACAAACCACTGAAAACTGAACTCATGTGGCCTGAAGAACCACATGGAGTAGTATGCTTTCTTTTTCTGGGATGGCACAAAATTACTTTCATACCCAAGAAGTTCAGTGTATAGACAAAAATAAAAGACAGTTAAAAATTGTAGTTATAAATGGAAATGCCAAACAGAAGTTCATCTACAGGCTTCTTTCCTGAACACTCATTCCCCTATGACTTCTCTAAATTAAATTAGATGAACTGTGTTATTTAAAAGAAACACTGGAACAACTCTGAGCATACAGAAAATAGTATAATCTAGAAGCTTATTTGTTCTTGTTTATCCAACCTCTGGTTAAGTGAGACTCCTGGTTAACTGAAAGTCGGTCGTGTCCCCTGACAGCCATGTGCACCGTGCATTACTCCCCTGCTTATCCGGAGAGACATCTGAAACCTTCAGAATAATGGAGTTGTGGGTAAGTGGGTGAGCACCGCACGAAGCACATTGCTGTCTGGGGACATGACCAACTTTCACTTAACCAGGCATGTCAGTTAGCAGGAAGTTAGAAAAACACATTGCAGGAGATGAAGTGTCTGTGTGTGTGTGTGTTTATTAGCTCTCTGGTGTTAGATGGTTTGTATCAAAGTACATATTCAGGAGAACTGCAAAACAAGCCTGCTCTTTGCAATTAACCAGGGGCTGCGTGTTGTTTGTGCTGTGACCTTTTTTTGTTAGTTGACCTTAAATGTAGCATAACTAAATGATAAAAGTCCTTGAAACTAAGCATCTGAAGCTGTTCTGAAGTATCAGACTGCTTTTGGTTTATTCATTAAATTCAATTGAACTTTAATTGCGATGTTAGATTCACAGCTGGCTAGGCTGGCTAGGTGGAGCAGCGATATCCTGCAAGCGATTCAAATGTGATACCATATACGCTTTGTGATCGTAGAGACACGTGCTTTCAGAGAGCAGCAGTAAAGGGCAAAGACTGCCAATAACAACACTTCATTTCTGTAGTAGCAGCATCTGTTTAAATGATTGAGTGGCATTCACAAGGCTCTTTGGCTTTGCTTTCTGTTAGGAGGATTGCAGCTGTAATACAAGGCTGTTTCTGGGAGGCAGGGGGATGCTTCTGACTGATTCCTGTCAGACAGAGGTGATCCCCTGTGGGTGAAGGAGCTGTAAGGTCATCCTCTGAAAACTCACCTACCCTGTAGCTACAGAATAATGTGCTGTGGTTGTGTTCTGAGAGGAGGGACTGGCTCTGTGAGTGAAGGGAAGAAGGGCTGTTCTCAGCTAGCAGAGCACGATCAGTGACTCTTGGGTGGTTTGGACTTCAGAGAATTGCCTGAGTCTGTCCTTAAATATTTGCAATGCAAAAAAGAATCTGTCTCTCATGATGTAGGTGACCAGGAGCTTGGGTGTTGCAGTGAAAGGTGAGGTATACAATAATAGATGAGAATCTGGTGGTGTTATAACTCTAAGAATGGGAGACTAAAATTGAAGTGTTCAGAGTGGTGCCTCCATCTCCCTTCCATTACTCCAGAGAGAATGGGTCCAGGATGGCAGCACAGGAAAGACTGTGACGTTAAGGACTGCAACTGCTTACCTATCTACACACCTCTAATAAGATTATATATTATTTTAAGAATTCAGTTAACAAAGGGGCAAAGGAAGGGATGGAGCATGGCGAGAGAAAAGATATTAATAAAAATGTGTGTTTAAGTGCATTTAGATCATACACTGTAGTTTAACTTGCTTTAGAGACAGAGATGCTTAGCGTAGGTGCTGAGAGACTGGGAAATGCACTCAAGTTGAGAATAAGAGGTACTTTGTCCCTCCAAATGGGGTCTTTAACATTGACTTGACTCTGCTGTGTTATCTAAAACATAGGTACATGCAGACATCTGGTATAAAATATTTCCTTAGAGCCTACTACTGCGTTCTTATACTTCAAATGGGAAGTTGTGTATCTAGATGTTAGTGACACTTAATATTGCCTTTTAAATCAAGTGTGTTCACAGATGCTTACGATTTTCTTTTTTTTCTTTTTTTTTTTTTTTTTTTAATTTTAGGATTAAAGAGCCCCTTCAGGACAGTGTAATAGCTACCTATGAAGAACACGAAGACAGCGTATATGCAGTTGAATGGTCCTCAGCAGACCCGTGGCTATTTGCCTCTTTAAGTTATGATGGGAGACTTGTTATTAACAGGGTTCCCAGAGCCCTTAAATATCACATACTGTTATAATTTGTTTGGATTATGGTGGAGTTGTTATCTTGATGTACACAATTGGTAGGTATTGTTTAGGGTTTTTTTTTTTGAGAATCTATTTTTATTAAGTATAAATGTTAAGTTTTTGTTAAGAATATCCGTACTAATATAGACACTTTCAGTCTGCCTTTTGTATTTGCCTTGAAGAACTGTTGCATTTTCTGAAGGCTGTACTAGTTAGATGATTTTCTTTTCTTTTCTTTTTTTTTTTTAATTTTTTTTTTGTTTGCTTGAGGGGCTAATCACTTTGTGAATTATAAAGTTTCTGGAGATATTGGGTACTTCCCATACTATTACTTTATTACTTCAGCTTTATGCAAATATAGTGGATTACAGAGGTGGTGTTATGCTAATATAAAACTGGGACAATGTAGGGTGCACGTAGCAGAAGTGATCTGCTTGTATACAAGAATAATATTTTATCTTTCTGATATAAGCAGCCTTCTGCTCTTGGCTAGGGCCACATTCTGCTAACTATTCTGGTCATTATTCAATGTTTATGAATACAGTTGGGAATGGTCTTAAAAGGCTTTCTTAATTCAGTCTAATATTTTAAACACTTCTTCTCCCATCTTGTGTATCCTAAGAAGAGATGTTAATTGTGAAGGTGAAACCTTCAAAATACATTTTTTCATTTAAGCCTTGTGGTAGCATTAACAAAGTACCATCCTGTAATTTGCAAACTAAATGCAATTTTGAGCTATGCGTTATTATTGGAAACAATATTAGTCTTTACCAAAATCTCTTATATACTCATGGAATGTATTATTCCATGTTTATAGAACTTAGTTGTGCTGTAGTATATTTTGAGGGACTCTGGAGCTATGCTGTTGTTAACCTGAAAAATCTCTTTATATTTGTGAGTAGTCTCTCCTTCTTATCCTTTTGGCTCTGTGCCATTCTGCAGTACGTTGACATGATGTAGCAGGCTTTCAGCTAAGCACAAAATATCCTTTGCTATATCCTACTGTTTGCAATACCTGACCTAGGCATTGGTGACTGTCTTGTTAACAAATGCTGAGAACAGACAGATGTTGCCCTGTAGGAGAATGCACAGAAAACTTGAAATGTCGATGGAAGGCATGGCGAAACATGCCTGTACGTGCTGACAACCCCCCTTTCCCCTTACATAGCTTGCATTAAGATGAAAATTCTGTTGCTTGTTCTTTGTGTACTCAGACTAACTGCAGCAGTAATTATTCCCTGTTGCCTTTTCATCCCTATTATTTCCCATTAACTTCAGAACCTGGGTATGTGCGACAGTGTTGGTTGTGGTAGCATTGTGTAAGACTGCTCTGAAGAAATGGCAATGAACATGGGATGGAAAAATCAATACCAGCCTCTTTTGTGATTTCTCTTGTTGCTATGGCAACTGTTGGTGTTAGTGTTGAGGGACAGCCTGCTGCTCACCTCTGCTTGTCCTTACCCACTCTTGGATTGAAACATGTCCAGATGTGATTTGTTGTGTATACACAGCTGCTTCTGTGAGAACATGCTTTGAGAGCATCACTGACTGCTATAGGCCAAAACATCCAGAAAAGATGAGTTGGGTTCTATTTCTGGCTTTCTTAAAGAGCTTGTTTGGAAGAATTCATAGGAGTGAAGTAATCCAATTAAATCATCTGTACTATTGTTTATATTTGTGTTACAATGCTGCCTGTCTGCTCCAAAATGAATGCTTCATTGGAAATTCTGATGGTCTGATTTTCTGCGTTAAGGTTTTAAACTTGTACTATTTCAGATTGTCTCAATCTGTAATTAGGCATGAGCTATTCACCTATATACCATAAGAAAAATTATATTTCCAAAACAGTAGCGCCTCCGTCATCTGAATATCAAAATCCTTGGTTGGGCTGCAGCTTTATATGTGGAGCTTTCAATCTTCAGACGCAAACCTTGTCAGGTTCTACCCCCCTGCCACTTCCCCCCCTGCAAAACCCCCACCAACCCAAACCTGCAGTGTATCTTTAGTATGCAGCAAAACTCTTTAAAACTTTCTTCATATTAGCAATAAAGGTCTAATGAAACTTTATTGTCTGTTAATGTATATGTCTTGCATTGTGAAGGTGACGGGAAATTACGTAACAGTATGTGGGATTTGATTTTTAACATGTAATAAATGCAGGACAGATTTCAGACTAATTTTTATGTGGCTGTATTTCCTTTAATATTGTAAGCTAACACAAGCTGGAAAGCTCTGTAAACAAATAAGAAATGTTTTCTTTTGTTTTCATTTTGTTGAATGTGTATATCACTTAATAGGGAAGAAGAGAGGGGATGAACACTGGGAAGGAAGGGAGTAGCAGGTCAAATTTGAATGAAACACATTACAGTAGAATCAAGAGAGCAGGAAGGGTCAAGTTTTAATCATTTTCAGCTGTCTGTAAAGTGGGATCTGAGCTACATGTACAGCACTGGCAGTGATATGGAAATGACCTTCAGAAAAGGAAGGCTTTTGACAAGGTTTTATCCCAGTCTGTTAGAGAAAGCAAGCTGCTATAGGATAAGAGGAGGGGTTCAAAGATGGTTAAATAACTGATTAAAAGATAGGAAATAGGAAGCAGGAATAAATCATCACATTTCATGGTAAAAAGAAATTACCAATGAAGTCTTGTAAGGATCTATGCCTGGACCGGTGCTTCACAGTATATTCATTGACCTTTTTGGAAAAAGGGCTGCATAGAAATATGGCATAGTTTGCAGATACTGTTCAGAGTAGTAAAGATGACTGAAGAATTATGGAAGGGCCTTACCTCACAGGGTGGCTGGGTGATAAAATGGTGGATGACATTGTGCAGGAAATGTGAAGTAACAGATATGGGAGAAAACAGATGTTTTACATAACTACTGGGGACCACCGATATATGGCTATTACTTGGAAGTAAGATCTTAGGGTTTTCATAGATCTTTAAAAGCGTCAGCTTAATAGAGGTTAAAATTTTAATTAAAATGTTGGAAATTACTAGAAAGCAAATAGAGAAGAAAATAAAGAATTGTTAATCCATTAAATAATATATATTTATAAATCTAAGGTGTAAGTGCATCTTGAATACTGTTCTGGTTTCTTCCATCTCAAACCCAACGTAGTAAAACTGGGAAAGATTTTAGAGGAGGGTGGTGACAGGAATGATGAATAGCATGCAACACCTGTATGGGGGTAACTAAATAGACTGAAAGGCAGATGGTTGAGAGGGAATGATAAAAGTCCATAGAATCACAAGTGGCAGAGGGAGAGCATGCATAGGGAGTTGATTGTTCACTGTCTCTCTCCTGATACCAGAACTAGAGGTTATTAAATGGAATCTGCATGTGGTGGCTCAAAGCATACAAAATAAGGTGGTCTCAACAGGCATGAAGGTGAGCTATGGCACTCCTCTTTAACACTCCCTTCCCTCCGCAAAAAAACCCACAAACCAACACCCAAAGAAACAAAAAAAAATCTCATTAAAGTTTACATGACTTGAAAGAAACTGAACCAGTACTTGAAAGATGAATCCATTAAAGGCTGCTAAATATAAAGGCATCATCTCTGGCTTAGAAAATCCTTTTAAACCATGAATCACTGGACACTACAAAGAGTACTGGCAGAGAATCCCTGTGTGCTTGTCCTGTCTTTACCTCCCTGGACATGTGCTATTTGCCAGTAAAGGTAGAAAATAGAAGATAAAAAAAATAACTTTCTAAAGCTTTGTCTGTAGTGCTGAGACAGCACGTTGCTCCTGCATGTTTCTATCTCAGAACTGTTTACTTTGGTCGTGAGTTGTGTTTTAGGGGATTTCAGAAAACACTTATGTCTCAGATGAATTTCTTACAGAATCCTAGTATTATTTCTGGAAACTATCTTGTTGCAAAACACTTCTTGGCAGTAAGACTGTGGAGGCAAGCAGATTTCTGTACAGCAAGGAGTCCATCATCGCTTCGGAAATTCAAATCATGGTCTAACTGATCTCGCAGCACTGGGTTGTTTCAGTGTCTTATAGAGAATGCTGTTTATACAGTCACATATCAGCATTGGTAAGCATATAATTGTTATTTTAAAACAAACACCTCTTAATGATTTTTTTCTTTCTTTGCATACTGTGTCCAGGTAAGAAGCTTTAATAGGTCTTGGTTTTTAAGAAGTGAGTTATGGTATTCCTTAAAAATGTCACGTTTTCAATGTTGCCATCTAAAAACTTGTTTTATTCCAGATTTCATGCTGAAAATCTTTTCTTTGTCACCTATTTAATATGTGTGTCTGGTATGAAATTACAAAAATGCTTGAGACAACGTATTTTTATTTCACAGAAAGTGAATTATTGAAGGAGAAAGGAATTTATAATATTTTTTAAAAGGTTTTGAGCATGATCTAAATGAAACTGACCAAAGTCAATACAAATCTTGGCCATTTAATGAGAAGCTTGAAATAACAATCTGTTTCACTTGAACTAAAAATGGTGCTAACTTCAAATTAAAAAAAAAAAAAAAAGGAAAAGAAAAGGAAAAAAAACCCACAAAACTGAAAACCACCACCAAACACCAAAAAATAAAACCTCTCAGTAATGACTTGGACTTTGCCTGTGATATCAGCGCTAAAATTAGCCTGACCTGTACTGAAGCCCATGACGTTAAAAAACTGCTTATCAACATTAGAATTAATGAAGAACTTGTCAAGTCTACCCATGCCATCCAATACGTTTGCTCTAGACCAATTCGCCTTACTTCAGATCTTTTCATTTCACAAAGGTGAGTGGAACTAAGAAGCCATATGATCTGGATTATGATCAACACTAGTATTAGTTGAAAACAGTGCTTTGTAAAGAAAAAGTTAAGCTGCCTGACCAATGTATTTTCCAACTTACAGCAGAAAGCATTAATTCTGTATTTGCCTCTTCATTTGGAATTCCCAAATCTTACAGTATTTGAGACTGAAATTCTGCATCTTGTTTAAGATAGCCTTCAACAGTATTATCTGACATGGTAAGACACCATGAGGTAGATATGCCTTTGACATAACTGAAGCAGTGAGAAGTAGGTAATGATAATTGCTAAGATCAGTCAGTATTTGGATACAAGCTCATAGTGCTATAGAGCTGCCATTTGGCTTCACAGAGGACATCAAGGGGTTTTTTGCTTTTTCTAGGGGATATGAAGAAAGTGCTTAAAACTTTGTTGTGGTGCCTGTGGTATGAATGCCATTCTGAGGCTGTGAAGCCATGGATACCCTCCAGAACAATTTGCACATTGCTTCTCCTCATTCCACCTGCCACTCTGGTCAGTGAGGAGCTAGCGAAGTGAGAAGAAAATGACACACAGAGATTTGGAGAAAAAGACAAAGGAGAAGAAAAAGTAAAAGGAAGACTGGCAAATACAGAGTGAAAAATGAATTGAAAAAGACAAGATCAGGGAAAGATCAGTTTGGAAAACAGAAATAGGAAAGATGGAAGAAATTGGCAGTAAATGAAGTAAAGAAAAAGATAGAGGGGTAAGGAGTTAAAAAAAAAAAGACTGTTTATTCGCTTGTTTTGGCTGTGATGTTAAAGGTCCTTAAAATTCTTCCATGTTAATCTCCCCGTGTTAACTGATTTAAGTGCTAGAGAATTCCTATTTTATATTGCAGCATTTTAGTTCTGATATTGGAGGTGGTTCATGCAGAATAGTTGCTGTCATGTTCTTGTTGATGCATAAGTTATTAGTCCAAACTTGTAGGTTTTAAGGGGTTAGGATTTTTAGCTGGTCATTATTCTTTTCAGTGATCAGGTTGCAACTGCACGTGTGAGGAGTTGTAGTCCATTTCAGTGCAAAGTTAGCAGATTGGATAATCAACCTGCGCAGTGTTCTGAGAGGTAGGAAGAAAATTCCAAGTGGGCTGTTTCTTGAGTCACACTAACTAGATCTGCAAAAGCATGTCTTTGATAGACACTGCTTATCCCCCTGTTTATGACTTTAGGGGAGTGTCCTAGTGAGAACAAGTCAAGATATTAGATGTGATTAATAAAGTATCTGAGGCGCATCCTCCCTTCCACACTGACTTGCCTTACAGCAAAAGAATTTTGAGCCGTTCTTGAGAAAATCCCCCCTGTTTTGATGCTACAGCAGCCCCAACTTCATAAAGCGGTTTTAGTGCTCCAGCACAGAAGATGGCTTTGGGGAGAAAGAGATGAATGAGTCTTACTAAATCCAGGAGCCAAGTTCCCAGTGTGGAGACGCATGGCAAATATGTGGGTTGCTGTTGCCCTGGAGCTATAGCAACAGCTGCCAAGCAGCTGGGCTGAGCAGGGAAGACCTCTAATGTACCTTCTCAGCAAATTGTCCATTTATTCTGATGCTGTCCCAAGTTCAGGATTTTGGCAGAAGGAACTATGGAAAAGCTTTTAAACAGAATGAATTTAGAAGAGTATGGGAAACCTTGGAAAACCCAAAGATACCACATACTAATCGGCAAGTCTAGATGAGCTGAATCCTGGGGCGGTAAAATACTTGGCAGACAAATTCTCTGAACCACTGCCAGTTTCTAAAAATTTGCAGAGGACTGAGAAGTCAAGACAGACTGGAAAATAGTAGAAATGGTATTGATATTTGGAGCTACGTGGAACAGCAGTGCATGGAGTTGGATAAGGAAATGTGAGGAAATTTTAGC